GAGGTGTTCCCAGGCCAGCCGAGAGACATAGTCCCTCCAGCGTGTCCTGGGTCTTCCCTGGGGCCTCCTTCCGGTGGGACATGCCCAGAACACCTCCCTAGGAAGGCGCCCAGGAGGGATCCGAAACAGATGCCCAAGTCATCTCCCACATGTAACTTCCCACATAGAAAAAAGAAGTACAGGGCTCTACTCCTTGGTCAGCAATGGTACATAGTTAGGGTATGTGGAGGAAGTCACTGCACTTTGATGCGTTTAGCCAGTGGGATTGGGTCTGATCTCTGCTAATAGAAATGTCAGCAAACACATTCCCAGTGATGCTTAGAAGGGTGATGTATATAGCTTGATATATCTAGATTATTACCAGTGGCTTGGTTTGGTCCTTCGTGCCACTGTTCTTGCAGAAAAGGAGAATCCCACTCTGTCTTCAGTCACTGGGGATACACCCTGAGTCCAAGAGTTCCTTGAAGAGCGAGTATAGCTGTGTTGGTGTCTCCTTCATACTTTCTTTGTTCCTAAATAAAGTTAAACCAGCTCAAATCCATCACTGTCTGCCCAGTTGAGGTTTTTCTGTATTTAAATCTTGGCAAAGTTTTTTTTGTTGTTGTTTGGTGGAGCAGCGCTGAAACATCATCACACAACCCCACCCCTGTTTAGGTGCAGTACTACCTGAGAGGAGAGTCTTACAGGGAGGGGATTGTTATTGCAAGTTTTTTGACCCATTACTGGGGCAATGGCTGGCTTGGCATTTGGATGTGTCACATGCTGGAGGACCTGGACACCAAGGTGCCACTGATGCTCTAAGATTCCCTGAAGTTCAGCCTGGGGTTGAATGATGCCCAATTACTGTGTTGCTATGAGGAGGAGACATTGCACTTGGTGACATTGGCTGGGTTCCCTCGTTTGTCTTGAGATGGTGTTAGGAAATAGCCAGTGGTAGCCATGGTAAGCAGAAAATGCTAAGCATTAGGACTATGCACACCATGCAACACTACTGCACTAGACACATTACACACACACTCACACACCCTCCACCAACTCACACACATCACCTCCCATAAATAAAACCCCTCTGAATTTAGTTGGCTCCTGCCACAGACTCGTAGACCTGTCATTGTGTCCTTACCTGCCTTGTAATGGAGTCACGGCTCTTGCACTGAACCATAAGAACGGCTCATGTTGCTTGTATTTCCCTGCTCTTGCTGAGTCTGCACTATGACAGCAGAGAGGGAGCAACATCTGCATGCTTTCACATGCAGGTACATCACTTATGACTGACAATCAGTGTTTTTGGCCAAGTATGTTTAAACACACAAATCTGACTCCAGTCCAGAGGCTCTTAATGTGCTTTTGATGAAAGCAAGAAAAGAAAAATATGTGTAATCAAATATAAAAGAAAATAAGAAAAAAATCTGTTTATAAATATATAAACATACACATTGTGGTAGAAGAGCTTTCAGATTGATATGTATTGTACAATGGTTATATTTACAAATTATTGCACTGGGGTGATTGCTGTGTGCTGTCATACAGACACACATGGATTAGCTGCTAATAAGGAAAAGAAATCATCTTTTTGTATGATTGTTATAGCTTACAGTGTTCTGTAGGGCCATCTATTGGAAAGAATTTCAAACAGTTTGAAACTTGTCTGGTCTTCTCTCAACCTGTGCAGTGTACAGGTCCTCAATTTCTTAAGATGTGAGAGGAATAGATACCAGGTGGTGAGCAGCAAGGGTTTTTTTTGTTGTAGCTGACAAGCTTTTTTGTTTGTCTCAAAATAGGGTATCAGCTCAGGTTTATTTACAAGGCTGTTCATTACAGTCCCACTGTGACAGTCGCATTATGAAACAATATATGAAAAGCTGTATCTTCTAAAATGATCCACACATACTCATATGTTCAATGAAAGTACTTTTGGTTGCTTTAACGTTGTCTTCCGTTCATGCTGGCCTCTTTTAGACAGAGATTCTGCTATATTCACATTAAGCTGGTCCTTCTTTGTTGCATCTTTTCCTACTTACAGTACACTGAAGTAAAATAAAATGCTGCCCCTGTGTTCTTTTTAGATATTAGAGACACAACATTTCACATGACGTCCAGCATGACAATAATGCATATAACAGACATATCGGAAATACAAAGGATACTGGTAACACTGTTGCTTTCAAATCATCTGTGACAGCTGAAAAGAGTAGATGTGCTCTTGCTCACCCTGCACATGTACGACATGCTTCAGACTGAAAGTTGTTGTGCATAGTGTACAACATGTTAATGATTATGGTCAGAGAGGCCAAGGCAGAATGGTTGCGTCCATTTTATTACCTCTTATGGTGGTATAATGGAGGGTCAACCCTGACTCCCCATATTGGCTTGGTACCTTTTATACAAAATGAATCCCATCATAACCAGGCTGTGTTAATGAGCTGCTGACAGCATAGAGACCCCATGGAATTTCTTCAGGGCCAGTATGGACAAGAGGAACAGTTACAACTTCCATTAATAATTTAATTGTTTTATGGGCATGTGAGTAGTGTTTTCCTAGTAAGTCTTGAAAAAAATCTGAACCTAAGAAATCAAACAGAGGACATGTTGTGAAGAAGCTGCAGAATACAGAAATCTTGTGGCCAATCCAATGTGGCCAGATGGGCATGAAGAGCGGACAAATATACTGTAGATTAAATACTCTACTGTCCTGCTGAGCTCTGTGAGGACTCAGACTCATTTTACTAGATAGATTGTAGCTCCCTCCAGTAACCATGAGCACAAGCTGTTCTTTGGTTTGACTGATGGTTTATTCAAAGCTCAACATAAAGGATAAGGAGAATGATCACCTTTATTGGCCAAGTATGTTACACACAAGGAATTTGTTTCCGGTACAGAACCGAGGCAGCCATCTGCGGCGCCAACTCAACCAATGGCTCTAACCATCGGGGGCAACAGGGGTGTTTAGTGTCTTGCCCAAGGACACTTCGACATGTGGACTGCAGGCACCTAGATTCGAACCTTCAACCTTCCGGTTGGGAGATGACTGCTCTACCCACCGCACCACTGTCACTTATAATTGTCCCATCATTAGAACTACACAATAGAAATAAATGTAGAAAAATTAGGAAACTATAAGCATCTTCACTGTTGACAGTAACAACATAAATGGTATATAGTGCCCACTGACTATTGTCTACATGCTTATTTAATGCTGGAAAGTCAAACTGACTTAGCTAACATTGAATGCACCTCATTGGCTGCTTGTTACAAAAAGGGAATAAATGTACTTATCTTCGTAACTCTCCTCAGCCTTTCTTGAGTCTGTGAGATTGTTGTCAGTTGTAACTTGCAGAGTAAAATGTAATACCTTAAACTTTTTTGAAAGCTTCAATATACACTTAACAATAACAGTAACCTGCTTCCCTCGCTTTTCTTTTTTGTCCATGCAAACAGCGTCATCACAGACACAAAATATGAACAAACTTGATGTCAGCTACTGTACATAGATTTTTGCAGCTCTATAAAGATGAGTCTCCCATCTGCTTGTATTTATATTCACAGCCACTTTGTATTCACAGCCTACAACATCTTTACAGGCTTGACATCAAAATGAATTAACCTCAAATGCCTTCTTTGTTGTTCTAGTAAGAAACGGTGTTTACCATATTGAAAATTTATATACCATTGAACTCACTCTGTTAACTGTGTGAACTGTGAGTGTTTGCTATTAATGCTTATATTGTTAAAGCTTGGTTTAAACCTGGAGTTATCTACAGCTTTTTTGCCATTTGCCAAAGTCTTGTGTTTTGTATCTCTTAGGTCTGACTAACTGTATGTTAAAGCCAGCAGCAGAAGACATTTGAAAATTTGTCATTTTGGCAACCCCATGAGCACTGATGAATATTCACAGTACATTAGTACAGCAAATAATGTGGTTGTCTATAATCTTGTCATGTACAGCAGCAGTTGATACCAGTCTCACACACACACGTTGTGTTTTCATTCCTTGTAGGGACTTTACATTGACTTACATTCATTTCCTGTAGACCTAATCTTAACCATAATCACTACTTGCCTAACAGCTAACCCTGACCCTAACATCTTTCCTAAGACCTAAACCATGTTGCCACTCTACAATTCAGTGATTTCCTTGTGGAGACTAGCTTCTGGTCTCCACAAGGATGGCCAAGTCCCCACAGTGCAAGTGTGTTAACAGGTTTCAGTCCTCATGATGTAAGTAATACAAAGGCACACACACACACACACACACACACACACACACACACACACACGACAAAGTCTATACGTGTTAAGCTAATATTTCATCAAGAAAAGGGTTATGTTTCCTGTTTTAGTGCTCTGTTGTCGTGCCACAAGTTTGATCTGCACATTTCTGCTTTTTTCCCCAGAACATATAAAACAATAGAGAGAAAAAAGCATTTTCCAATGTTGTGGTCTCATTTTTCAACAGCCATTATTTCATTCTATCAGCATTGATTTCAAAAGGACAGGAGGAGGAAATTAGGTTACGCTTACAAGCTTTAAATACATTTCCCCTTTTATTACATATTTCCTAGGGCTGACATGCACACTATTCATCAAGAATGAAATGTATGGTCATTGGTTTAGAATGGCACAGCGGCAGTGATCTATTTATTATATACTGATATTGATCAGTTGCAGAGTAATGGATGGAGAGATGTGGAGGCTGTGCTGCAGAAGGGAGAGATGGGTGTGTTGCAAACTGAGGGAAATCAGTGCAACTGCAGTGTTAGTGTAAAGCAATAACAAGACAGTACAACAGAAAAAGCCCTGCAAGGAGTTATTTTGACCCAGGGGAGATTTAGAGTTTAATCTGCGTGTGTGCATATGGCAGATATAGTTAAGGCTTTCTGCATGGCCCTCATACTGTATGTCCATCAGCCCTGAAAGAGTATTGCCTGTAGTGCAGGGGCCCTCCGAGCATGTTCTGGCAAGCTGTGAAACCAGTGGAAATCCTTTCATACAGTTCCTCCTACTGCTCTTCTCTATGGATTCTCATCAATTGCTTTTCCCTTTATCCATTGCTGCCAGATTTTCTTTATCTCTATGTAATCAATCAAAGCAATTCTTTTCTGAGTTGCATAGTTGCTTTAAAACCCAGTCTTCTGCTGTATCTCTCAGCCTTTGTCCTAATTCCTGCCCACAGTCCTTCACACCATGATTCCCTACAGTGTCTAACCCTCCTCGCATCTCCTGGAACACCAACAGTAATATTCAGTGCAGGCTAAATAACTAGCATGTTATGTAATCCACTATATGTCATGTTTTCTAAAATACTTTGCCTGGGTGCAAGCGTAATTGCCAACCCTCTCAGTCTTCCTGGAAGACTCCCGTTTTTCACTGCCCTCTCCCAATTTCCTCCCTTGGTCAAAATTTTCTCTCATTTTTCCTGATTTGTGACAAATTTCACACCTTACCCCCCTTTCGTTATCACAACCTGTTCTTGGTGTTGTGCATCTTAAGAGTATTGTTTCCACCTGAACAATAATACAGCTACACCTTCTTGGCTTGTATGCTGTTCATATGTCCTCCCATGCCAAGTGAGAAATGAAGACCGGAGACAACTTAGCCTTCTTTGATATTAACTCATTAGACTGACATGTTTGAAATTGCACTTGTTTTTCTAAGATACTGTATCTCAGGCTGTTCATCATCTGTTTTACAAATGGGTGGTTGATTGTGTTTTCAGAATGTTCTTTTACATCTTTATTTATTTGTTCTTTGTTGTTATTTATGGGCTATTATGCATTAGCTTTGCTGGTCTACTTGAGACTGAATTTAGTTATATCATCAAACTCATTTTATTTCATGGGCCATCCATGAAATAAAATGAGTTTGCCACCTTCTTGCTAAAAGAGGCAAATTATTTTGTATTCTCTGTATTCACTGAGAATTAGGAGTTGAATTACAAGTATTTTACATAAAAAATACCGTTGCAGTGTACCTATTATTTTGTTATTTTCATTCTTTTAAAATCTTCAGAAGCAATGTCTTCGAAGCTCAATTGTTTTATGGGGGAGGACCCCAACTTTGATTTTGAAATTATCCCTATTTTTCTAGGTCTCAAGGTTGGCAAGTATGGGTGCAAGTGAGGTCCAGCTCTGCATATTCAGTTGGTCCTGTACCTTTCAGTCCTGCTACATATGAGTTCTCCAACTTCCCCACATCCTGTAAACAGGTTCCAATGCTTCAGGCACTGGTCATCAGAGAGCCACTTTCAATCTGTTTTCTCCACTGCTCTTCCTTCACACCTAGATCACTGCTCACTTTGCTGCCTGTACACCCACCCAACTAGTCTTGTGAAATTCTCCCCACAGCCAAACTATCCTCTCACCTCTCTCTCCACACCGCATCTTTGTCCTGCTGTGGTGTGCCCTCCTCCACCGTGCCCCTGGCAGACTCTGTGCTGGAGCGGTGGTTGCTATGTAACTGCAAATCAGCCATTTAAGCAGTAGCACTCTAATGGATTTGCAGACAGTAAACAGAGACTACAGACTGCATCGTTACCTGCATCTCTGAAATAAATGACTGTCCACACACTGACACACACACACACAGAGGGAACATTTTGTTTCTGTACCAAAGACAGTCCTGTTTCTCTGTGCTTTAGATAATGAAGGTGTTCACTCTGGTGCTGATTATGTTTGTCAATGATTTACTTTCTCATGTCCATGCCTTTTCTTTTCCCCTTTCCAGAACTGCATTCAGCTGAACCAGTATACGCTGAAGAGTGAGATTGGAAAGGTGAGTCCATGGATTTCGATCATTTGCCTCTGTTCACTTTCAAGTGGTTCTGGAAGATCAAGGAATATTACTCAGTTTAATTTTAATTAAACATCTTAGAGATTAAAGATTAACATCTTTAATTAAACATCTGCAAGCCACATCATCAACATTGCAGATGTTTAATTAAAATTAAACATCTGCAATTTTAATTTAATTTTATAGCTGCAACATGTGTCACCACTATAGCTGATAGCACACCAAGTCAGTTCAAGGTTTGAAAGAAGTGCATGAAGATAAACACTTTTGTGTTTTGGTACATGGGATAATTTAGTGTGGCAGCAACAGAGGTTGAAAATAAAACTGGCAAATTGAACAGTGTGAAGTGCACTCATCAAGGCCTGGCCATATTCATACTTATGGTCAAATTTTAAAAGGTGCTATGAAAAATTTCTATAAGAAAACATGGAAAATGTTAGGTTACGTTTGAAACAATTCACACTCTTACAGATAAGTCTGTCTGCCCATAAGATAAAAGAAAACATCTTCTAAGGACAAATAAATCTTGAGTCAATTTGAACAGCCACCTGGCACTTTGGGCTTTCTAAGACAGATAATATTTCTCAATTTATATCATTTATGTGAATATGTGATTTGCTTTTCAAGCAGTTATGGTATTTGTTTGCACTTAACAGCAAAGAAACAAAGGATGATAAACACACATCCTGTGGCAGTATGTGTGTGGGAGGAGCCATTATGTGCTGTCAAAGAATAAAAATGTTGTTTCTGAATGGAAACAGTGTCATCCTCAAAAAATTATGTTAATATGGGGCTGAAATATGTTTTCAGAGTGATGATTAGGAATCTTAACAGTTTAGATATATAATGTATGTGAAATTGCATAAGAAACTCCCTATTATATAATGACAATTTTATATTAGTTCTGACATATTAGATATTTAATATTTTTACTTGCCGAGTCATGAAATAAAAGTGGCAGTAAAAATTGTGAATGTTTTTTAAGAAATAATGTTATAACTTGACTTTTGAAAAGGGTTATTTCAAAATGAAATGTTTAGAAAGAAATAATGATGCCCATTAAGGCTCAGCTATAAAAATTGAATACTGAAATAACATTTCATAATAATTAGTTAATAATTTCATCAATTATTTTAGAAATTGCTGGTTTATTTATGCAGCTTATTCATATGATACATGATAAATGTCATATGGGACATTATGCAGTGTGGAGCTGAATGACAAAGTTCGCATATAGGATAGAACCATCAATGAATAAAGTGTTGCTGCATGTACTGATCTCTTTGTTGTTGTACTGCAGGGCTCCTACGGTGTGGTCAAACTTGCCTACAATGAGGATGATGACAAACATTATGTAAGCCAAAGCAATCTTTTTGTATTTCAGTTTTTTTTATTAGCAACTGGCATGCAGGCCCTCTGCCACATAGCCACAGCTATCCTTTGAGTGTTTATCCAGTCTCATAACAGTCCTCTTGTCTGGACAGAGGAGCTTTACAGGGATTCACCAGTACTATTGATGTTTTTCTCACTTCAACCTTGTTGCTTAGCTGCGTTCCATCCCCTCAAATTGCATCATTTGCCTTGGAAGACACTTGGAAATGAAAGTGACTTCTAGTGCCTCATAAGGTGCATCCAGACTGTCAGCTGCCTTCAGGTGGCTGCTCTGGGGTTCGTTCACAGTGGAGGATCTTGATAGTATAAGCTATTATTTCTCTGAAGCTTCTTCCGGTTCTTTTAAACCAAGAACTCTCAATGAGACGAAGTAGACTGCTTTAGATTTTATAAAAAATAACCGTGGATCACAGAGGATCACAGGTAAAATTTACATTACACGTCCAGACCTTTCTCACTCTCTACCTGCGCGCAGGCAGCAGAAAGGCTCAAGAAGCCTGGACCAAAAAGCCTATATAATCTTAATCATTTTTGGGCTAGCCCATGCTACACGGGGTGTCAAAACATGAGGAAAAGTCAAGGTGCGTGACTGTTGTTTTCGTGGTATCTAGAACAATTTGACATGACATTACACATTAAGACAAATATTAAGACTAGCATTACAGTTGACACTAACAGCTCTTTGCCTGTAACCTTGACGTGCCTGCAGTCTGCACTGCAAGCACAGTTAACAGCCTGAGCTAGTCAATCTGTCTCCACTAACATTTCTAGACAACAAATCTCTGAATATCTATCTAACTAGGAAATAACATAACAATAGAAACTGACATAAGGTTATCTGAGGCATTTTCATGAAGGCCATTTGTACTGGTAACAGTTCAACAACCTCAGCCACTTTAAATGTAAGCTTTATGTTTTTTATAAAACTAAGCATCCCTGTACAGTAACAGCAGTGAAAGTGTTTGGATGAGTCACAGTGTAGACTTATGCTGCCAAATCTGGATGGGTTCAAGATGTAATTTTGAACTTGTGCCAGTGTGAGCTTCGAATTAAACACAGTCAAATAATAAAATGGGAGCTTATAAATGAGTTGATGCAGAATACTAAACAGAAGTTTATGTAAGGAGCCAGACAGGGCTTATAAGATGCGTGAGACATTATAAGAAGGGAGTGCTGGTATAAAATGTACCTCTGGAGTAAAACAAACAAAATTAAGCAGCATGCAGAACTGGCCAGCAGTATGCAACCCTGTTACATTTATATATTACAAATGATTGACTGCAAATATGCTTATAAAAAAACTTAATGCATCCCAGACTGGATTTATATAGGGTTATTATTATATTATATATTATTATATAAGGTTGACAATGAATGTACAGTATCAGCAAAATGTTCACAAAAAATATATTTTGTTTTTCAGTTTTGGCTGAATATAGAATATTAAATATCAGTAATTAAAGTTGACAGCAACTAGAAGAACGAGAATGTATTTACACTGTTAACATTTGACAAACACCAAAACAGTATTCTACCAACTGTAAAGATGAAGTTGATTTATTTTGGAAGGAGCTCTCTAAGTTACCTGATAACCCTGATTATATTGTCAGGGCTGCAATGTTTTTGGAGCTTGACCCATACTAGAGACTGGTATGAGTCATCCACCTGTTTTATGCACATTTTTAGTTTGGACATTAACAAATGTAGTGGAAACACCACAAAAAAGTCAAACCAACGCAAAAAGATTTTACAATCGACTGAGATCAAAATGTATGTACACTGATAGATACAAAATATGGCAAGTGGTTTTAGGTGGTCTCCTGCTCGTTTGAATGGTGCTCTTTTATTGATATCATCTCGCTGCACCCTTTTTATGGAATGTGATTAAACAATCTATTTAACCTGATGCTCTCAACTCATATTTGCATAAAACAAGTGGATGGAAACACACATGAATTAGCATAGATTTTGCTGATTTTCTGGAAATTTGGTTGAAAATTTTGTTTTATTTAGATGAAAACCTGACTGAAGTCCACTGCTTTGATGTCATCCCAGCAACAAGTACATGACATAAATCTAGCTGTTCCCAGAGCAGAACAAAATGTACCTTAAGACTAATGACATGAGCAAAAATAGTAGTTGGAGACAGTGTTACAGTATGAGAGAATCCAGGAACCAATGGACCATCTGAAGCCTGAGATTCTTGAAGATGATAATGGATCAAGAGATATACCAATCCATACATTTTTACCTCCTCAATCTGTCCTGTCTCCACTTTTTCCTGTGTGTGCATCAGTGTAGCAAGTTTTCCTGTTTGCCAAGCATGTGTCTACATTTAGATTCTGTTTTCTGTCTTTGATACTGGCTTTGTGTGGAAGTGTTCTTGTGTTTGATACTGACAGGACAGACTGCAGGTTATTGCAGGCTGGCTCAAATGACAGCAACACAAGAGGGGGAGATGAGTAATGACAGCAGGATAGAGTGATTCTATGTCCTGGCAATTAGAGTTGGTTTCACACAGAAGTGATTAGATTTTTGAATGCAGAGCATCTGAACTATGAGCCCACATGCAATATGCACAGATCTCTCTCTCTCTCTCTCTCTTACAAACACACACAAACAGATATTATACACAGGAAAGATATTAAACACTACTCCTATAGCCTCTATGTAACCTGTATCTTTGTTTATGGCCCACTAGGATTGGCTGCATCCCACCCCCGAGTTATTTCCTGTTTCTTTTACGTTTTTTTGTTTGTTTGTTTCTTTAAAGTTATAGATTTCCTGTGGAAGAGTTTAACTGACTTAGATGAGATGTAATGTGTATCGCGAGACAGAGCGCAGGATATTCAACATGGCGGCGGTGCACAGTCACTATGCTAGCTATTTTTCGGACTTTATAACCAACAATTATTATTACATAAGCAATCTATCGACACCACAACCTGCTACCAACAACAGAAACGGACTTTTCACATACTGGAGGAATTATTGGACCTAGAAGCATTCATTGACCAATACTAAACTCACTGGAGAAGGGGTACAACCAATACAACCCAGCAAGACACCCCAAACCCAAACAAGCAAAAAATTACTTATTCTACAGATACAAGCAATCTACAAACAACAGAAATTGGGTCAGTGTTCTTGCATCTATCAATAAAAAAAAACTAGGATGAAGTCAAAGAACTCCGGTCAAGTCTTGAATTTGCCCACAACTACATCGAAAAGTTAGAACAGTCAAACAGCTCTCTCCAAACATCCATCAAAACCCTCAGCAACAAAATGGACTCCGTCATGAAAGAAAACAGAATAATGAAAGAAACGATACTGGACATTCAAACCAGAAACATGCGTGACAACCTGATCTTTTCCGGCATTCCAGAACAATCACCCAAAAACCCCGAAGCACTGGTTAACAGTATCCGGTAGAATTTTGAGTTGGTTTTTCATGAAGTACTTAATAAGATCACCTTTTACCGTGTACACCGCCTTGGTCCACATTCCAACAAAACACCCCAGCCAATAATAGCAAAACTGTAACACTACAAACACAAAGAACTAATTAAAAGTAAAGGAAAGGAACTGAAAGGCACAAACTTTGGACTCAATGATCAATTCCCACGTGAAATAAACGAATGATAGAAAATCCTCTACCCCATCATGAAACAACACAGGCGGAACAACAAACATGCAAATATCACTGTGGACAAATTATACATTAAAGGACAGCTCTAGGGGCTCAGTCATGAATGAAATGATATTAAACATGAAACATGTGCGATAACCTGATTTCTTTTTCGGTATTCCAGAACAATCACCCAACAACCGCAAAGCACCAATTAAGGACTTTATGAAGAATCTGCTTAAAGTCCCACCTGACACATTCAACAAGATCACCTTCCACTGTGTCCACCATCTTGGATCACGTTCAAACAAAACACTTTGACCCATAATAGCCAAACTGGAACATTACAAACATGAACTCATCAAAGGCAAAGGAAAAGAACTGAAAGGCACACATTACAGACTCAGTGTGAAATAAAATGATGTAAAATTCTCTATTCCATTATGAAACAACAGATGAGCAGGCATCAATTTGAACAAATTATACATTTACTGAGACTCTAATGTCCAAGGCTCTTCTGATCTCCCACATTACATCTAATAACCAGTGACTGCTGTATCATATATTACATGACACCCGACCCGCATTCTCACCACATAAATCCAAACACATACAAGTATCTCACACAGTCTCCTGCAAACATCTTGGCCTGAATGCTAAACAGAAATAATGCCAAATAATAATCACCTGGATCCAACAGATCCTGCGCCAAATTTTAAAAACACTTCTGGCAGATATTATCACTGCTATTTCTTAAAGTTACCACAGAAATTAAAGCCGCCTCCACAGTGCCAACACATACTGTATGAATACAGCTGTTATGACACTCCTGCTAAAACCCAATAAAGACCCAGCCCATCCTGCCAGTTACCACCCCCTGTCACTTATCAACACAGATTTAAAAATTATCACCAAAGCACTAGCCACTAGAATAGAGACTGTTACTCCAATGATAATCCACCCAGACCAAACTGTTATGTTTCTAACACAGGGCTAGGAACTAGTCAAGAAGCAGTGTGTTTCATAGGTTAGTACAAACCCAGCGCTGGAGATGACTCACTCAGTGTAATAGCATCATTGGGGACAAACCAGGCAGGAACAAGAGACACAGGTGAGTGGCAGACACAGGACTGAAGGAGACCCTGGATGCGGTGCAGAACTCAGGCGAGAGCTCTCTTTTCTTTCGGCCATTTGAATGTGGCAAGAGCAACTTAAGCAAATCAAATTCAAATTTTATTTGTATAGCGCCAAATCACAACAAAATTCATCTCAGGACACTTTTACAAAGTAATGTCTAGAGTCTAGACCATACTATTATCACTATTATTATAGAG